ACCGCCCAGAAGTGACATAAAGAAGATATAGGAAAGCCGTCGAAGGAGTTCGAGGACGGGGCACTGCGCGGCGAGAGCTACACGGTGTCAGAAGTTCGCGGAGGCGCGCTGATCGGCGAGAGGTACGCTGGCGTCAGAGATCGCTGACGACATGGCACGGAATCCAGCAAGCCCGGTTGGAGCAAGTTCCTCCCGGCTCCGTAACTTGCTACTCCCTGCGTGGCGAGAGCTACACGGCGTCAGAAGTTCGCGGACGGTGGGCCGATCGGCGAAAGGTACGCTGGCGTCGGAGATCGCTGACGACATGGCACGGAATCCAGCAAGCCAGGTCCGGTTGGAGCAAGTTCCTCCCGGCTGCCTAACTTACTGCTCCCTCATTGGTCAGACGCTATGCCGCCTGCGAAAATTCCCAACTTAGTCGATGTATCGGAGCGTCTAGGCTCGCGCTATGGCTGCCGCTCCGCTCTTGGGGCAAAATCGCTCGCACGTGAAACAGGCTTAAGGCGATAGGGGCCCAGTTCTTCCCAGTGGCGGTCACTAGGTGCCCATTAACGAGTGCGCCGAATCGTATTTTCGCAGCTGTGATTCGTCGACTTATTCCGTGGCTGGGGGGCATGCGCAGCCACAATTTCGCAACGCAGGCTATCTCCCAGCTAGTTAAGCCGATTCGGCGAAAGACCCGATGCACGCCCTCTCTGTTAGGGTTACGTGTTCGTATGGCACAGTTGTGCTTTCCTGCTGGGCGAGGCTCCCGTTGCACAACGTGTTGCTCTCTATAGATATGAAGTTTTGCTTGGGGCGCCTCAGCGATCCCTCTGGCTGTCGTACAGAGGCCCCGACAAGCGGCCGTTCGCGAATTCGTAAGGCACATTCGCAATGTCTCGCAAGACGCATTTCAGATTCGCTCGGCAGTCCGTCGGCTATACTTTATATCATACAAGCTACATTTCGTACATTTGTGTGATTCATTACACACCATGCTCGAAAGGCTCAGGGCTTGAGCCCCCATATACCCCGCAGGTCGAGAGTTTTACAGCCTACACGTTCTGAAAGCTCGCTATTCAATGTGTCTTAAGCGGGATTCACATAAGGATGAAATACACGGGCGATAAAGGCGGAGCCTAGTGACGTCAACCGGCCGAGGATGAGTACCCCAAAATGTCCCTCACTCACACGAACGAGGCGAACGGTGGTGATCAGTGTGGCCACAGCCTCCACCATGTAATGGAGCGGGGGCACTGAAGAATGCTTTGACCCCTCAGCCATAGATATCGGCAAGCTTTCGTCTTAAAGGGGGGGGGGGGGTGCTCAAAGTCGCGTTGTGGTTTGACTGGAGAAGGAGGAAGGCGCTGGTGTTTCTTGGGTGAGGAAAGTGTTAGTATGGTTTGAAAGAAGTGCCAGTTTAGCACCCCCATCCCCCTGGCGCTTTGCTGCTTTTAGAAAGTTGTTTATATTGTGGGCATTCGTGTCACCACAATCATCATCGTGTGTGTGCACGCTCGGTCTCAGGCTTCCCGTTCGCTGCAGAGCCCTAGGGCTGAATAAACGCTGTCTCAACGCAGACGTCGTAATGTCTTTTTTTTTGTGTGTGTGGAATGCAGACGCGGCTTTGCCCTTGGTTTGACTCACCGCCACAAGCTTTTCTTTTTTGTAAAAACGAACTCACGCAAAGCGACATTCCGGGCAGCATCATTGACAATGGCTTCTCTGTTTTTCTTTCCGACTACGAAATTGCTCACAGCCTCTCTGACTCGTCAAACACTACTGTTGAGTCGGTAGATAGGAATTTCAGTATCTTTCGATGTCGGTTGACTTTCTGTGAACAAAGGAATTATGCTTGCATAGCATTTCGCTCATGAGAACAACCGAGAATGGAAGGGATCTAGCCTATTAGTATTTGACAATTATCTGTACAAGCTTTTTTATAATTACGAAACCCAAGATAATAGAAGACTATTTCTGTCTCGACTACGCGAACTCAGACTAAGATTTCGCTGCATCATTGCAGCCGATAAAGCAAAATGTGAAGCATGTCGTGTTTCCGAAAAAAAAAGCAGCTCTCGGGATTCTATGGCTGCCTATACTTTAAGAGTCTAATCTTGAATAAAGAGACCCGTTAAAATTTTTTGTTATAAAGCAATGCATCTCTATCAGGCTGAACAAGCAGATCAGTAGCAGAAGCAGTAACAACAAAAGCGGGCGTTGTCACAGTTATTATATAATAACCACTTTAAAACAAACTAAATATCACTCCATGAGATGGTAGCACTCCATCATCTGCTTGACTATTGTCTTCTACACACCATTTTTTTAGGTTAGTTTACTATAGTCATCTGAAGAGATGTCCAACAAGTGAGGATATTTTTCCACGGCATAAAAGAAAAAAAAAGTTGCTTCATCGTTCATTTTCGCCGTCACAGTGCCCGCAAGTCCAGAGCGTAATTTGGAATAACCGCCGCCGCTGCGTTCTGCAGGCACTGCAGGAGAGAGTTCTACAATGTGGCCAGACACCCACCGAAAATTCCGCCACATCCCTCGCTGCACGGGGATCGTTTGACCAGTCGGAGAAACGATCCCCGCCTTCCCCGGGGAGCCGTGAGGAGGTCGCGTCGACACACCAACCCGTGACGTCGTTGTCACGTGATGCGCCATCCTCGCCTCTTCTCTGTGGATTTCTCCCTCGTGTGAATCCCGCTTTACATGCTTGAAAAGTTTCGGTTCGAGTCCCTCCTTGCTTCTGTGGTCGAGGATTGGATACCTTATATGGTTGGAAGGGTCACAGTTCGAGTTCTCTCTCTCTCTCTCTCTCTCTCTCACACACACACGCACACGCACACGCACACGCACACGCACACGCACACGCACACACACACACACACCACACACACACACACACACACACACACACACACACACGCGCTTCGGAAGTCCACGATGCTATAATCTACAGACTTGGAAAGCTCGGAGGTCGCAAGATGGGCATTTTACATTATTGAAGGATTCAGGGTCCGAATCCCCTTATACTTTGTTAGTGAACGGTTGCACAACGTACACACTTGGAAAGTTTACAGCTGCATATTGTTCGCAGGTCGAACGTTTGATGCTCTAGATGCTCAGGAGGTATAGGGTTCGAGTCCCAGCTCACAAAGTACGTCGTGAGTTTTAAACGTTTCTCACTGCATACCACCATATATGTTTTCCACTTACGAGTATTTGATGTGGGCCTCAGGACGTCGTTTTTGAAGTTGATTTCGCTAAGAATCTTAGGATCGCGGAAGAAGGAAGAGCTCACCCTTTCTTCAAACAACAATGCGTCAGTGCACGTCCACAAGAAGACAAAGAGCAGAACAGGCCTTGCGTGGATACCCATCTCGTCGCGATTTCTCGAACGTTGTGCACGAGCAGAAGCAGATTTATACGCGGAAGTTCGCGCGTTCTGTCACTTACGCCAAAACATGTTTCACTAAATTCACTGTCCATACAAGATCTGATCCTAAATGGTTTTGATAGAAGTGCGTCTGACCGCTAATGGCTTACTATATGAGATGTGCATCGCTGCCTGAAAAGGGCATGCTAGGCGCTTGTGCATGACGCACAAAAGCTAACTATGGCATTGAAATATTTAAATTGATGTGCTAAGATTTGATGAGCACACGCGAACACGTCAGTCGTGGAACTGTGCCGGAGGCTGCCGTTAAAGCAATCGAGCAATAAAGAACTGTGTGAACGTCATAAACGCCAGCATGCAATTTGTTCAGTTCGCCTTACAGGGCAGTTCTGAAGAACTCCATCTTACAATTACAGAACGATGGCCGCCTTAAGGTTGTTTCACACGACGCTAAAACACAGCGATTATTGCCGCAGCACCATCGCGGTTTTCCCGTGCCGCAAAAAAAAAAAATGCTGAAGCTTGCACTAAAACGCGCCAGTCTTGAAACAGTGACACTGGATGATTCTGAAAACTAATCGGTTCGTTTTCTGAGGCATCAGCAAAGTGGTGGAGGTTGTTTTCAAGTTTGCTTCTGGGTCGTTGCTAGGCTTTAGCTAGGCGATGATATGTTGTTTTTGCGTTGACTCAGCGCATATAGGCTCGACGTTAACCACGAACAGACGCGACACGATCACGTGATCGTGGGCGGCGAAAGCCGTTCGTCGCTTTGAGGTATTCTTGCACTACCGTTGCCTTTCCTGTTTTCTATAATATCTAGTCATACGCACTCCGGGTCTCCGTCTCGCCGCCATCTTTTCGCGGCCATTTGTTTGGTGACGTGTCGCATTCTCTTTTAGGAGCCAAGCTCCTAAGGTCTTCGCTCTGCCGATGTCGACGTCGCCGTCGAAGATCCCTGTGCCGGGCAAAGGCGCCGGGCAAAGGCGCCGGGCAAAGGCGCCGGGCAAAGGCGCCGGGCAAAGGCGCCGGGCAAAGGCCCCGGGCAAAGGCGCTGGGCAAAACAGGTGCGCCGCGCGTACCGCTTCACTCACCCGCTCAGTCGGTCTCGCCACCGAGTGCAACAGACGCGCTCCGCAACAACTCTCCACCATACCGCCTTCACGAAAGCCAGCGTCGAGGTCGGGCGCAAAGTCGTTTAATGGCGTCCCATTTTTAACGACCTCCGATGATTATCGGAAAAAGAACTGTTTTGCATAGATTTTTGGCCACGTGGTGTTGTAGTGTGTTGCTGGCTAGTTACTTGATTTTTGCTTTTCTTTCTTCTCTTTTAGTTTGTTGGTATCTCCATGAACATATGGCGCTTTATTTTCTGTAGGCTTATGGGAATATAATACACTTGTATTAAAATTCACCTGGAAGTCTGCGCTAGTCCTCGTCATTTCTGTGTGTATTGTGCTCATTTTTTTTTGTACTGAGCAGTTCAATAATTTAGGTCGGCCGTAAGCTCCACTTGCTACTTCAGCCTAACACTACTGGTGCAACTTTTTTCCCCCACGTAGCCTTGCGCACAATAGGTTAAGCATCAAGGTTTGATTCAGAAAAGGAGCGCTCGAAGCGAAGTAATATATTTTTATTTCCTCCCTATAAACTCTCACCTCCACGACATCAACCGGTACGCAGTTCAATGAAAGTGCGCTGTGTTCGGCATTACACCTTCAATATCACGTTTGTAAAATGCAAGTACCTGTCTGAGCAGTAGAGCTGGATATGAAGCAAGTATAACCTGAAACAAAAAGATGCAAGTGGGTTTTATGAAAAGAGCGTATGAGAAACTAGCACCGCCGTACCTGAACAAATGCCACAAAGAACATACACACGCGTAAAAAGCAAAACTTCGCTTACTAATACTATGGCCCAGTGACCGACCTTCAGCAGAAAGTGATAGTCTGGTCCACCTACTGCATTTGCTTGTGTGTGTGGGGAGGGGGGGGGGGGGAAGGGCACATTTTTCGTGGCTATTTTCTGAGGCAGCTATAAATGCTTAAAACACACTTAGGTGGTGTGTGACCTTCGAGGCTTCGTATTACAGAAAAAAAAAAGCTCCTTCGTTCGAGCCTCAGGAATTTTGGCGAATTGGATAATTTAGACGTGTTTGCTGCTGAGCCGGTTGATTCGGTGGTCGTGCATAGAGGTGTGCCAGTATAGCGTAGTGTAGTTTTGTTAGCTACACGAGTGCGAGTAAGAGTGTGTGCTCTCGCTCGCCATTTCGCTCGCATATATATATATATATATATATATATATATATAATATATTATGACGACTCGGTTGTAACGAGGTTTATTCGTCGTTAACTCGGGAACGAACAAGCGCAACGGACCCGACAAAGAAGTGCTCGTGCCAAGAAGATGATGATTGTCAGCCAGAACATATGATGATGATTGACTGCTGTTCAGATGAGAATGAAGCGCATAATAGATGCCTACACTGATTCCCCCCCCCCCCCCCCCGTGGAAGCGGCCAGCCTGGCCGCTGCGGGTGGGTAGTCAAGGTGACGAGGAACGTCGTGTGAAAAGCTTCATGCGGGAAACGTGTACAATTTCGGTGCTACGGTAACGACGGTCAGTTGGCACGACAAGAGGCGTCACGCGATAGTTGACCGGTGAAGTCTGCTCTAAAACAACGTATGGGCCGATGAATCGAGGCTGGAACTTGTCGCAGAGACCAGGTGTGCGAATTGGTGTCAATAGCAGCACCTCGTCACCCGGTCGGAATGATACCACACGATGAGAGGTGTCGTAGACGGCCTTCCTTGCTTGTTGCGTAGCTTCCGTGTTCATACGAGCGCGCTGGCGGCACTGGGCAAGGCGAGAAATATATTCTTCGCAAGAAGATGGTGATGTAGGGCCATTGCTGGTGAAGAAGGAAACATCGATAAAGAAAGTAGGTGAACGTCCGTAAACGAGATAAAACGGTGAGTAGCCGGTTGTGTGCTGAACAGCGGTGTTGTAGGCGAAAGTGAGGAACGGTAGAAGTTTATCCCAGTTTCTGTGATCCGGTTGAATGTATACGGCGATCATGTCGGCAAGGGTTCGATGAAATCTCTCGGTCAGACCGTTTGTTTGAGGATGGTAGCTAGACGCCATCTTGTGTGTGGTACCAGAAACGCGAAGAACTTCACCTAAAAGCTGTGATAAGAACACCTTTCCAAGGTCACTCAGAAGTACACGAGGAGCACCATGACGTAGTATTATGGCCTGAAGGACGAAGTCAGAAACTTCCGATGCTGAACCAGTAGCTACTGAAGTTGTCTCGGCGTAGCGTGTCATATGGTCTACGGCGGTGACTATCCATCTATTTCCAGCACCAGTAACAGGAAGGGGTCCATAAAGATCGACACCGACGACCTCGAAAGGTGTTGTAGGGCACGTCATTGGCTGTAACTGACCAGCTGGGGGAGATGTCGGAAGTTTGCGAAGTTGGCATGGAGAGCAGGAACCCACGTACTTTGCTACGCTGGTAGAAATCCCAGGCCAATAAAAGCGGCTTCGAATGCGGTCGTAGGTTTTGTGAAAGCCTAGGTGGCCAGCAGTCAAATCGTCATGAAAGGCGTTAAGTACATGATGTTGAAGAGCGCGTGGCAGAACAGGTACCCAGCGTTGGCCGTCAGGATGATATATGTGACGATACAGTACACCATCCTGAAACTTGAAGTGCTCGAGTTGTCGACGAAGGCGTGCATTGGGTGGACGCGTAGCTCCTGAAAGGTGGTCTGTAATGCTCCGACAATACGAGTCAGCCTGCTGGCGAGAACTGAAGGGTTGTTCATCGTCGATTGGCGGTTGGTACAGCGAGGCGAGCAAGGCAACAGAAGTGGGAGTCACGTCCGCACTGGTGTCGTTGGAGGTGGCAGCTGGAGTGTCGAACGACGCCGTAGGTAGTGGGCAACGAGAAAGAGCGTCGGCGTCTTGATGTTTTTTGCCCGATTTATAAATAATCTCAAACTGATACTCCTGTAGGCGTAAAATCCAACGACCCAAGCGTCCGGACAAGTTCATTGTAGAAAGCCAGCATAAGGCGTGGTGGTCCGTTACGATGGTGAATTGACGGCCGTACAGATAAGGACGGAACTTTTGTATGGACCAAACCACAGCGAGGCACTCCTGCTCAGTGATGATATAGTTTTTTTCGGTAGAAGTTAGCACTCGGCTAGCATATGCGATGACCCTTTCCCGTCCAGAGTTATCGCGTTGGAGGAGAACAGCACCTATACCGCAGCCGCTGGCGTCGGTATGCAGGAGTGTTGGGGCGGTGTCATCAAAATGGCAGAGCACAGGCTCTGACGTCAAAGCTTTCTTCAATAGGTGAAACGCCGACTGACATTCCTCGGACCACACAAAGGGTGCATTAGATGCAAGTAGTTTGTGAAGTGGCGCAGCTATTGAAGCGAAATTTCGTATGAAGCGACGAAAATATGATGCGAGGCCAAGAAAAATTCCCAAATCCTTAAGTCTTGTGGGGCATGGAAATCGAAGGACGGCAGCGATCTTTTCGGGGTCAGGGCGAATACCGTCCTTGCTGACGACATGACCGAGAACCTTGATGGATTTGGTGGCGAAACGGCACTTCTTAGTGTTGAGCTGCAGACCCGCACCGGCGAGGCATGTTAGGACGTCATCCAAGCGGCTAAGGTACTGAGAAAACGTTGATGAAAAGATTCTTCTAGTTACTTCAATCTCGTGGTTCGGCTCCGCGGTTATTACCTGCCCTAAGTAGACATAGTCTTTTACAACTTGAAGTGCACCGTTACCTACGTTACCTATCTCGAAGCGCTGCTCTTTCCCGAGGTTGTGGTACATTACTTTCGTCTTCTGCAGATTTATTTTAAGACACACCTTTCTGCTCTCCTTGTCTAACTCCGTAATCATGAGTTGCATGAGTATGCATATATATATATATATATATATATATATATATATATATATATATATATATATATATATATATATGGTAAATAATGCCGAGACTGTCCATGCTATTGTGATAAACAATTAATAAAACTAACAAACTGTCCTACCTCGTTGGCAAGGGCATTCATATAGGTGCAGACCCTTTGAGTTAGTGTCTGGTGAACAGGTTTGCCGAAATAAAGGTTTAACTTTGCATAATCCAACTTTCTCATTTTGACCATTCGCCACACAACAAAACATGTCTGGGTTTCCGCAGTCACCGTCTTTTCTACAATTCCTTCCTGTTCTGTCGCCCTGTAGAAAGTGGCACCCAAAGGTAATTAGAACACATCACATATTTAGCTTATATATAATTTACTAAAACCGTGATCCCCTGATGGGTGTTTTAGCAGGGAGGGTTCCAATAGCTTTCAAAAGATAAGCGATGAACACAGTACAGACATAGAAGCCACGACAGCATGTACAACTAAAATTTAACGCTTGTAAGACACCAATGCATGCATTTTCAAGACACGACTTTTAAGACAAATGGGTGAACATCTGCTAGAAGAACCTCATTACCGAATGGGCTATTCCACTCGTTACATGTTCAAGGAAAGATGCCTGTGTCTGATAGTAAGGAAGGCAGATGTGTTGGTTAAGATGACATTAATTTTCGGCAGGTTGATTTCTTTCTGGCTCTTTGTGTTTTGGGTGCGAAGCTCTTCAACACCTAGCCTTGTCTTCCGTCGTGGTGTCAGCATAGCTATACTCAGAACGTATGTGAGACACACACACAAAAAAAAATACAATAGACTTCAATGTCGGCATAGCAAAATATAAGTGAAGAAATCACTGTTCCCGGTGATCGAGAAGAGTAGTCTGATCTCTAGTAAAATGTGGCTAGAACTGTAGGCTTCTCAAAGAAACCTGCAACACAGAGGAACACATCGAGCTCTGTACGTCCCAATAATTGCCCATGTTAACACGATATCTTGCCGCCAGTCAGATTGCGGGTTCTTGGCTGACTTTCGAGGCATAATTTCCACTATAGCATTGTTTAAAACCCTCTTAGTATCACCTAAGACTACTGGAAGGTGAATTAATGTTTCCTTTTTATGTACACTTTGTTACTAAATTAACGTTATATAGGGCGATGATCGGGTTATATAGGGCTACCTATACGATGCTCGCAACTACGCCCGCTCATCATGATTCACTTCTTGCAGATGTGTACATTTCTTTTATCTGTAATTTCCTTCCCCCAGCGCAGAATAGTGAACCGGAATTGGGTCTTATGGACCTTCGGGTCTCTCCTTTTTCGTCCTCCTCCTCCAAGGAAAGATGGAAGTCCCAGGTGTTGAAAAAACCGTTGAGCACCGTTCGTCACTGGAGCCAGTTTGTTGGCAAACAGTCTTGCCTTCTCCGGGACTGCACCTTGAAGCTGCCGCCCCGAAGAAGACAAAGGCGCTGTTATGGGTTTTTTTGGAGGCGCAGCCTGTTGAAAAGAGATTACATTTGATAAATTAGAGAGATACAGGCACAAAATTAGTTCTGCTGTTCTTTTTTCTGCGTAAAATGACATGAACTAGCATACTTTCAAGATTTTAAAATATGTACTGCTAAGGGTGAGTACACCGTGAAAGCTTAATTAGGGTATGTTTTTAAGCGCTAGTTTTGGTGCTGGCTTTACCCCGACTGCACATGCCATGAGCCTCCCGAAATGTGCTCGCACAAGATGTCGTGACGCTCCCGCCACCGCTCCGTGGCTTCATTGATGTCACCAAAGTGGCCATTTTGAATTAGGTGCAGACCATTTCCTTGTCCACCAATTTACTATCTATCTATCTATCTATCTATCTATCTATCTATCTATCTATCTATCTATCTATCTATCTATCTATCTATCTATCTATCTATCTATCTATCTATCTATCTATCTATCTATCTATCTATCTATCTATCTATCTATCTATCTATCTATCTATCTATCTATCTATCTATCTATCTATCTATCTATCTATCTATCTATCTATCTATCTATCTATCTATCTATCTATCTATCTATCTATCTATCTATCTATCTATCTATCTATCTATCTATCTATCTATCTATCTATCTATCTATCTATCTATCTATCTATCTATCTATCTATCTATCTATCTATCTATCTATCTATCTATCTATCTATCTATCTATCTATCTATGTATCTTTGGTCTATGGTTGAGTATTTTACATTCTTGAAAGGTTTTGGGTCCGATTCCCCATATACTACAGAAGTCGGTAGTTTTATAGCCTTCGCACTTGAAAAGTTTTAGATTTGGATATACTTCGGAGGTCGAAGGTTCGATAGTTTGCGTGCTTGGAATCCTTACAGTTAAAGTCCCCGTTTGCTTCGGCGGTGAGGTTTTAATGCAGTGCATGCTCAGAAGGTCAAGTGTTCAACTTCGGGCACGTTTCGTAAGTCATGAGTTTTAATAGTTACTCGCACTTTATACCATTGGCACAGTACCATATAATTCCCATTTATGTGACGTCGGGCCCCTATGTATTTTAATGAGCCTCGTAGGAAGCCTGGCAGCGATGTTGCGAAAGAATGTGTCTCAATCTTCGAAAATGAAGAAAAGATAAGAAACTTTTTACGCTGATTACAGCAACAGACCCCGTGACAGTGTTATCGCTGCATAGTTTCAATATAATCAACCTACTGCCTGGTTGCTATGGCTTCTACTCGGCCCACATTGCCGAAGCCACGTGCATCGGCGTCGGCCCGTACAAAGCAGAACATCATGGAAGGCATATAGACACAACCAACGCCTGAAGCAGCTTCGCCTCTGTTGCTGAAGACGCAGGGACATACGGATTCACAGTGCACATCGGTGACAGTGAACCATAAATTTCCGACTTTCGAGTTCCCAGTAGAAGACAAATCAGTCCTTATTGTTCTCCAATCATTGTTAGACACACTTCGCGTGTTCGCTGTTGCGTTGAAATCACACACGATGAGTTTGTACAACAGGACAGTGGCTGTCATGTGCCCAGTGCTTGCGAGCTTTCTGTAGGCACCATGACTCGCCGGTTTACAGAGGGGTGGCATAAGCTTGCAGTCCTGCGTCTACTATTATTGAACGCAGCACTGTAGTTTAGGCTCACGTGTATCTTTTTAATAAGAAAGTGCCCTATGCCGGGGTCCACCACGGCTCCGCTCACGTATTTCCTTCACCTTCATGGATATGAAATTGTAAAATATATATTGTAAGATGGCGTCGAGTGCACTCAAGACTCTCCTTTATTGACTCGAGTATGTGCCCCACAACTTAAACTTGACTGGTGATGATGAGTATGTACAGATGAAAAGATGGGACGCATAAATAATGCTCACTCTTATTTTCCCCGCGCACTCGAGCGGCCTGCCCGGCAGAGACTTAGGCGGGAAAGGTGCGGCGCACAAAGGGTTTAAGACGTGAAACGTGGACTATCTCGGAGGCACGGTAACGACGGTCCGAGGAACCCTCGACGGGAGTGACAAGGTAATTGACAGAAGATGTTCGTTCACAAACAGCATAAGGTCCTAGAAAACGGGACTGAAACTTTTCACACAATCCAGGTGTGCGAACAGGCGTCCAAAGTAATACTTCATCTCCAGCACGGAAGGCGACGTCTCGACGAAAGCTGTCATAGCGTTGCTTGTGGTCTTGTTGACTGGCCTCCGTGTTGAGCTGAGCACGTTGCCGTGCCTCAGCAAGCCTGGAGACGAAATGTTCTGGCGTAGTCGTGGACGTTTTTGTCATTACATTGAGGAAAGAGGCGTCAATGGTGAATGTCGGCGCACTACCATAGACGAGGAAGAAAGGTGAATACCCGGTGGTTCGTTGAACAGCGGTGTTGTGTGCAAATGTTACGAACGGCAAGGTTTTGTCCCAATTATCGTGGTTCGGTCCGATGTACATGGATATCATGTCGATTAGAGTCCGGTGGAATCGCTCTGTCAGCCCATTTGTCTGTGGGTGGTAAGCGGATGTGGTCTTATGAACTGTGCCACAAGTTTTTAGGATTTCGTCGAGAATCGTTGACAGGAAGGCCTTGCCTCGGTCACTCAACAACGCGCGAGGTGCACCATGACGCAACACAATGGCTTCTAAAAAGAAGGCGGCAACGTCTGAGGCAGAGCTAGTACGTAGAGGAGCGGTCTCCGCGTATCGTGTGAGGTGGTCGACGGCTGTGACGATCCAGCGGTGGCCCGCTGGCGTTACGGGAAGTGGCCCGACGAGGTCTATTCCGACAATGACAAAAGGTGTGTCGGGACATGGAATGGGTTGTAATAAGCCAGCAGGAGCTGAAGTTGGTCGTTTCCAGCGTTGACAAAGTGCGCAAGAAGCGACATAATTAGCCACAAAGGTAGAAAGACCAGGCCAGAAGAAAAGGCTCCTAACGTGGTTGTAGGTCTTTTGAAATCCTAAGTGTCCAGCTGATGGGTCGTCGTGCAATGCTTCGAGAACTTGTTTTCGCAGTGAACGGGGAAGTACTGGCACCCACCGATGCCCATCCGCATTGTAAGTATAGTGCTGCAGGATATTGTTCTCTAGCTTGAACAGCCGTAGCTGACGACGTAGTCTGGCATTAGGTGGAGAAGGCGAGCCATTCAAGTATCCGATGATGCGGTTAGAGTAGGGGTCGTCACGTTGGTACGTGGCAAACTGGGCGCTGCTGTTTAAAGGTAGTGACCCAGCAACTGCCAGGGGTGATAACGTGAGTGAACGGGGAAGTACTGGCACCCACCGATGCCCATCCGCATTGTAAGTATAGTGCTGCAGGATATTGTTCTCTAGCTTGAACAGCCGTAGCTGACGACGTAGTCTGGCATTAGGTGGAGAAGGCGAGCCATTCAAGTATCCGATGATGCGGTTACAGTAGGGGTCGTCACGTTGGTACGCGGCAAACTGGGCGCTGCTGTTTAAAGGTAGTGACCCAGCAACTGCCAGGGGTGATAACGTGAGTGAAGCCGCTTGATCACCTGAGGGGCATATAGGATGCGTGGTTGGAGATGAAAGTGGCAGAGGGCAGCGAGAGAGAGCGTCAGCATCCTGATGCTGTTTGCCGGACCTGTACACAACGTCAAAGTGTACTCTTGCAAACGCAGTATCCAGCGACCGAGGCGCTCAGACAAATTCTTGAGCGAGGACAACCAGCATAGGGCATGGCGGTCGGTAACCATAGTGAAGTGGCGTCCATACAAATAAGGTCAAAATTTCTGGATGGCCCAAACGACAGCGAGACATTCCTGCTCTGTTATCGAGTAGTTCTGCTCCGCAGATGTTAGTGCGCGGCTGGCATACGCAACTACTCTCTCGCGTGAAGTGTCGTCGCGCTGGAGGAGGACAGCACCGATTCCGTGGCCGCTGGCATCTGTGTGCAGGAAAGTGGGTGCACTCTTATCGAAGTGACGGAGGACGGGGTCTGATGTCAAAGCACGCTTAAGGGCTTGGAAAGTTGGAAAGCACACTCGCACTCGCCAGTCTACGTGAAATTCGTTCATGACGTCAGAAGCTTGCGTAACGGCCCCGCAATGGCAGCAAAGTGACGAATGAAGTGGCGGAAGTAAGACACCAGGCCCACGAAACTTCGCAATTGTTTTTGATTGCGCGGACGTGGAAAACAAATTACGGCAGCAACCTTGTCGGGGTCGGGTCGAGCGCCGTCTTTGCTGACAAGGTGACCCAATACTTTGATGCTTGTGCTGGCGAAGTGGCACTTTTTTTGTATTGAGCTGTAGGCCAGCGTTCGAAATGCACGTTAGAACTTCGTCCAAACGCTTAAGGTGCTGAGGAAAAGTAGAAGAATAAATGACGATGTCGTCTAAATAACATAAACAGGTTTTCCATTTGAGACCACGTAAGACAGTATCTATCATGCGCTCTAATGTTGCTGGAGCGTTGCACAAGCCAAAAGGCATGACGTTAAATTCGTAAAGCCCGTCAGGCGTCGCAAACGCTGTTTTCTCCTTGTCTGCTTCGCGCATAGGTATTTGCGAATACCCGCATCGGAGGTCGAGGCTGGAGAAATATTCTGCGCCTTGTAGGGAGTCCAGGGCATCATCTATGCGTGGCAACGAATATACCGTCTTTTTTCGTGATCTTATTGAGCGCTCTGTAATCAACACAAATGCGGACAGAGCCATTCTTTTTCCGGACCAACACCACAGGAGACGACCAGGAGCTAGATGAAGGTCGAATAATATTCCGTTTGAGCATGTCAGCGACGTTTTCCTCAATGATTTGCCGTTTCGCCGAAGAGAGACGGTATGGGCGGCGGCGTACAATGGAGCTGCCTTCGGTTTCGATGCTGTGCTCTTCAACGGAGGTGCGGCCCAGAACTTTGCAATGTACATCAAACGTAAGGCTGTGCTTTTGGAGAAGGTCTAAGAGGTCTCTCTTTTGCTCGGCAGTGAGCTGAGGACTTACGGTGTCATTTAAGGTAACAGTGGTAGCCTTGATATCAGTAGTAGCAGACAAAGGCGTTGATTCTGCGTGAAGGGGAACCAGCGAAAAGGGCTCACTGTCAGCGAAGCAGCTCACAGCAGTGCCCTGGGGCAGCATCACTGGCGAAGAAGTTGGATTCAAGGCGGTGACCAATGCTTTACCGTCGTTAAACCGCACAAGGCCGGGTGTTATGGTAAGCCCCGCAGGTTTGGAGCGAACTGATGGAGCTATGAACACGTCACCGTTAGCTATAGTATCCGAAGCGATCGTTAGAAGTTGTTCATCTCCTGGCGAAATGAAACAATCAGTGGCAGCAACGAAACGGAAGCTGTATGGATCGACATCGGATGAACTCTCAGTAGCTGACATTTGAATGACTCGCTGACGACACGATATGAAAGCTGATGCCGAAGAAAGGAAGTCCCATCCTAAAATTACTGTGTGAGTGCACAAAGGAAGTACAAGAAACTGAATGTGGTGAAGGATGCCATCTATGAAAACGCGGACTGTGCAGACACTTGAAGGCTGAATAGGGACTCCATCTGCGCAACGAAGGGGATGACCATCGTAGGGCGTCTTAACTTTTTTCAAGCGGGCACAAAAGTCTGCACGAATTACGGAAAGTGATGCGCCTGTGTCCACCAGTGACTCTGTCTGTATACCTTCAACATACACCAATAAAACATTCGATGGGCGGTCCGGAGGAGTTTGACGAAGTTCGAAAGATGCAGCTTTCCCTCCCGAAGCTGCACTGTTCAGTTTTCCAGTTGGCGGTCGGGAATTGAAGTAGAAGGTCGGAGAGGAGAAGTGGAACGCCGCATCGGTGAAGGTGAGCGACGACGTGAGAACCGGGAACTGCCAACTGGGTCAAAGTTCTGCGGAGACGGCGACCGACGTGTGCTGTTCGGATACAGCCGACGATAGGGTGGTCCAATGGCGTAGAAGTCGTCCCGTTCAAGGTTATCGTAGCTTCATCGTTCGTCTTGCTGACGGCGTCGGCAAAACCTTGAAATATGACCACGGATGCCGCAATAGAAGCAAGTCGGCCGCGAACTGCGCCAGGCGTTGTAAGGCTGGGAAGATGGTCGCGGTGCGTGTGAGTTGAGCGAACCATGCACTTCGGGCGCTGGTAGCTGCATTGGGCTTTGCTGGGGTGCAGGTGTTCTAGCAGCAACCTGAACATACGTTGGCATGGCCACAGGATATGAGCTCGGGACAGGTGTGACAGTCATCGAGGCCAGGCTTTGGTGGGGCGTAGGTGTCGTTGCAGCAACGTGAGCATAACTGGGCATGGGATGTGAACTCGGAGCTGGTGTACCAGTCATCAAGGCCAGTTCCTCCCTCACGACATCGCGTAAACTAGTAGCGGGTGGCGTTGTTCGGGTATCGAGGTGGCGAGGTGAAGCCTGTGCATGAAGTTCCTCGCGGATGATAGAGCGGATCAATGCACGCAGCTCTGTTGTATCATGACTTCAGCTTAGATCAGACATATCAGGCTGTACCCGAGTGGTCTGAAGCTCCTCAAGGCGCTGACAGGTAGCGACAACATCGGCTACGGTTTGGGGATTTTGCACCACAAGCGCATTAAAAGCGACAGTCACAATTGCTTTTAGCAGGTGGCGCACACGGTCGTTTTCCGCCATATGGTCGGCGGCAAAGGGCGAGAACATCTTCGATGTAAGAAGTGTAAGACTCGCCAGGGCGTTGAACACGTGCACCAAGCCTCCTTTTGGCGATATCCGAGCGCACTGACGGGTTGGCAAAAATCTGGTGGAGCTGACGTGTAAAAGCGGGCCATGTCGGAAAGTCTGTGGCATGGTTGAAAAACCACGTTCTTGCGACTCCGCTCAGGTAGAATGCGACGTGGGTGAGTTTCGCAGGCTCATCCCAGCTGTTGATAACACTCACGTGGTCATACTCCTCGAGCCAGTCTTCAACGTCTTCACCCGGAAGCCCTGCGAACAGCGGAGGATCCTTTTGAGGGCTGGTGACCAGGTGAGAAGGGTATCTTGGTGGTGGGAGTGGAGGCGAAGCTGGCACGCTGGACTGGGCGGCTTGCGACATTACCGGACCCAGGTCGTTTAAGCGGCGGCCTGAAAGGAGCTCCAGGGATGTGTTCTAGAAGACGCTGGGGTGTCCGAGAACGCGAGAGGACGCAGGAGCCGGGCAGCACTCTCCACCACTTGTAAGGTGGCGTCGAGTACATTCAAGACTCTCCTTTATTGACTCGAGTATGTGCACCACAACCTAAACTTGACTGGTGATGATGAGTATGTACAGATGAAAAGAGGGGACGCATAAATAATGCTCACAATATTAACGAATTGCAAAAAAATGAGGAAAAGTTTCAGAGATAGGCGTCGAACCTACGACCTCTCGCTCCGCAGTGCGCGGCGCGAAAACCACTAAGTCACAAGGCGTACGTTTCCAGCATGCTAATGGCGAGCCATTTACATACACCACACGCGGTCGGCAATCCTCAGAGCTCAGCGATAGCAGCTCGCATTTTTGTCACCAGTAGCGAGATCGCGCGAGGAGAGTGTTTTGAGCGTGCTCTATAAAAGTCGTCGCCCCGCGCTTTGCAATGCGCGCGTTCTTTTCCCCCGACTCGCGAGTTTGTTTTTGAAGTTACAGTGGCGAGGGAGTGCGAAGGTCACTTCGCTCGCTGCCGCGGCCGCGTTTACAAAAGGAGTGCGCCGCTCGCGCACGAAGAACAAAGAATTGTGACAGTTCGCGCTCGTTGTGTGCACACTTGTCCGCTCGTTTCGTGCGTCTTTCTTTCCGTTTGAGCAGCGCACTTTGTACGTCGAGCGGTGACAGTTGTCATTCTGCGCTCGCCCAGTGTGTGCTCGTTTCATGCGTACTTTCTGCCTAAGGTTGCCGCTGAAAGTTTCAAGCTCCTTGCCATTGTTCGCGTGATATTGTGTTTCGTTGCTGTAGCATTCAATCATTCGCCGTTGCACAGCCATGTAGAACAAACGCTGAAATTTATCTGTGAAAGGACATTTCACTTTTGGGTTGTATTCCAATTCCTAGACAGATAGATCAGACTTGTTTTGTATGTTCTCATCTTCCACTCTCTCTACCTCTTGAACTCTTAATCTCAATTCCCCAGCGTAGCATAGCAAGCCAGACACGCGCCAGGTTGACAATTCTGTCTTTTCTTGTTATTCCTTCTAGTACCTAGAACGTTGTTTATGAGTCGATTTCGCTAGCAATGTAACTATTGCCGAAAAAAAATAGGGGACCATAAAGCTTCGCCTTTAAGTTTTTGTAAAGCATGAGAGTTACTTTCACTGCGTTTTCAAGCAGAGGAAGTCCTCTTCACTGTACTCGCTAGTAAATGCCTGGACGTGTAGTAGTACATCCACTTGCCACGCAAACTACCTGAGTTCGATCCCCACTCGGACCCAAACGACTCTGGTTTGGTGCCTACTCTGACCCAGGATTTTCTTATCATATATTTTATTTGCATCTCTATCAGTACTTAGACCGCGCATATGATGACGATTTTGGGGGAGAAGCTCCTTAAAGCGGCACCCGTTGTTCCCTCGTAGTAGTGCGTAACATGTCTTACGCTTTGACCTGCAAGGTGGCGCAGGTGGGAGATTTCTCCTGTGCGTTGATGAACAATAAAAAATTCGCAGTGTGCGCGTTAACTAAAAGCCGAATTGTCCTGTCTATATAAACTAGGGGGACTCCTCACTATATGGACGAACGGACACACAGACAGATGCATGGACGGATGCATGGACGGATGCACGGATGGCTGCACGGATGGCTGCACGGATGGCTGCACGGATGGCTGCACGGATGGATGGATGCATGGACGGACGTAAGAGCGAATGCATGGACGAACGCAAGGACGGACGCATGGACGGGCATATGGACGCACGTACGGTCACACAGACGATAGAATGGACGGGCGGAAGCAAGAACGAATGGACGGACGGATGCTTCGCCCCACTTTCCATCATTCACCTCGTGGATATGCTGCCGTTTTTTTTTTTTTGCTCACAAGCAACTATTCTTACACCGACACATGAATTTCTGTGAAACGAGCTCTTTAACGCGACAGCGTTAAAGATATGCCTAAAGATCTCACCAATGTTTCAGTCCATGCACACAGCAATATAAATGGCAGCAGAGAGTTTGCACGGATGTTCATTTCGCTGCGATATCTTTAGCGTCATACACGAGAAGAACCAGATATATATGCTCGGAGATGCGCGTTCTGTGAGCTACGCGAAAATATATTTCGCTAATTGCTCTGCCGATACGTGATTTGGCCCGAAAGGAATGGATCGATTGCAATGCGTTCGGCCGCTAATGACCTCTAAAAATAGGTATATGTAGCAACCTGAAAATAGCTCTTTAAGATTTGGTTAGCGTATATGCGAACGTGCCAGTTGTGAATCTGTGCTCAGAGACGCGCCGACAATAGAGCTCTGCGTAAACGTCACAAACGCGCGGCTATTCTCAAAGGATTGTAATGAAGACGGAACGTTCCATGGCCGCGTATATGCAGCTTAACAGGAGTATCATTGCCGTATTGACATCGCCGTTCTAAATGCGAAGCATTTCTTAGCGAACTTCGACAACTTTGAGCGTATCTATCTATCTATCTATCTATCTATCTATCTATCTATCTATCTATCTATCTATCTATCTATCTATCTATCTATCTATCTATCTATCTATCTATCTATCTATCTATCTATCTATCTATCTATCTATCTATCTATCTATCTATCTATCTATCTATCTATCTATCTATCTATATATATATATATATATATATATATATATATATATATATATATATATATATATATATATATATATATCTTTCTATCTATATATATCTATATATATATATATCTTTCTATCTATATATATCTATATATATCTATATATATCTTTCTATCTATATATATCTATATATATCTATATCTATCTATCTATCTATCTATCTATCTATGCGCTTACGTTTGGGTGCTCTAGTGGTCACCCCCTTAACTGGGCGTGAATCAAAATTAGCATGGGAGGGTAAGATGGTTTGCCGAATATGACGCGCTGGTCAAGACATGAATAATGTCACAATCCCGTCACGTACGTCGTCAAACACTTCCCATCAGACAGTGGCACATACCCACGGGCGGGTATGCCGGAGTCGATTTACGTAGCAGTGTCCGGGGCCAGCATCCTCGCGAGCATCAATGCTTCTTATCAGCTTCTGGTGTTGCGGGACGACGACGAAGTGTTTTTCTACCGAACGCTGCCTATTTCGTTTGGTGTTTTTTGTGTGAATTTACGTTCTATCCGAGGATCATCGCTCTCCTGCGGGCAGCGATGGATCCAGGCCCCACCGTACGCAATCCGGACTTGGCGTCACCTTCGACGTCAACCTCAAGGAAGCGCAACAGCCGGGAGGACGACAGCACCAGTGACAGCACTGAACTGTGCACGGCGAGTAGTGAAGACAGCGACGAAGATTTCATCCCTGCAGTGAAGCGTAAAGCTAAAAGAAGAATGGTCGGCGCGTCTTCGCCAGCTAGCGTCTCTACCGTGAAGGCGGCGTGCAGTTCTGAACGCCATACCATACTTTTTGTTCCTGTCGACTCTTCGATCAACCTGAAGAACATGAACAGGCAAGTGATATCAGCGCGTCTCGAAGCTATCGTGCCTAATGAGATAAAGGATATTAGACTCAACCCACGCAAGAATATCTTGGCCATAGACGTTGAGCACCCGGCTGCGCTACATGCCCTGCGAACTGTCACTGAGCTTGGAGGCATCTAATTCAGAACTTACATTCCGCAGGATAGTGACACGACGACAGGCGTCATTTATGACGTTGATGTTTCCATACCGAACGCAGACCTTCCTGTTCTGATAAAGCCAGCTACTGGGGCAACGGACATATTGCAAGTATGCCGGCTTGGCAAATCCCGTTGCATCAAGGTGACCTTCAGAGGTGATTGCATCCCATCACATGTAAAGGTTGGTCATTTTCGTCACGTTGTCCGACCATACATCCCAAGACCACTACAGTGCCACAACTGTCTAAAACTGGGTCATGTTAGTGCTGTGTGCAACAACAAGCAAGCATGCCCACGTTGTGCCGGACCCCACAAAGCAGAGGCTTGCCAAGCAACTCTCCTAAAATGCAGCAACTGCAACGGCAACCATGAGACCTCGTCCAAAGACTGCCCAGTACTGAAGAAAGAGAGGAGCATTCTAAGACAAATGGTTAAAGACGGATCCTCACGAAAGGAAGCGGTAACGGTTGTTCAACGACGGCGTTCCCGTCGACGGCGGTGCTCGAAGAAAAGAAAAAGCAGTCCTGTGCCGAAGGTGCCTTCACTAACGCCGCCACCGCCACCACCACCGCCGCCACGACCACAGAAACCTCCCCCGCCCCCGCCACCAGGTGGGGTACGTCCAGAGGTACCGGAAGACACTGTGGCGCTACAGAGAACATCCGGCTCTGACTGGCCCACTTTACCGCGGGTACACGTGTCTACGGAACCGCAATATCGACAGTCAACAACGAATATGCCCCCAGCAGGCAGTCTGTCCGCCCAAGAGGTACAAGTCTTTCTTGTACTGAGGTCGTTCATGAGTGTTATTCGCACTCTATTGGATAGTCTACAGATCCCTGCCGCTAAATGCGCGCTGCAAATCTTGGACACACTAGAACCAGTTCTTGCCGGACTTCAGTAACAAGATGGCGCACCATAGACCGCATCAGCCTTTCCGAGAAAAAGTCAAGCGTGCTTCCATAATTCAGTGGAACGCAAGAGGTCTACAGTCAAGAATGCCTGAGTTCCGACAATTCATTTTCGAAAATAAGTTTCCCATCATCATCATTTGTGAACCGCATTTTTCAAAAATACCTCGTCTGTCGGGCTATGAATCGTTCGTTTCTTCAACGTGCATTGAGCGAAGTCAAGTTGCTGTGTACATCCGTAAAGAACTCACTTACGTTCTCCAAAGAGTAGACTCTCACAATGGAAATCACTACGTGTGTCTATATGTTAAAAAGAAGAAGTTGTCGTTTACACTGATAGGCGCATATATAGCGCCGTCAGGTCGACTAGATCAACAAATCTTGAATGGTATATTTGCAACGACTCCAGCGCCTTGGATATTGATGGGTGACTTCAACGCCCATCATCCATTGTGGGGAAGCATCAGGACAAATCGAAAAGGCACGGACCTAGTTGATCTCGCATCAGAGCACGGGCTTCAGGTGCTGAACGACGGCAGCCCTACTTATCTCCGAGGAGTAACTTACAGCAGTTGCCTGGACTTGACATTAGTGTCGCATAGCATTGTCACGAAAGTCCAATGGTTCACAAATATTTAAACACGTGGCAGCGACTATATCCCCACGTACGTGACAGTCAGAGGTTTGGACGATTCTCCTTCCCCTGGACATTCAAGACTTATTGACTGGGAAGAGTTTCAGATATCAGTGGAGAGCAAGTGCATGCACGGACCACCGGAATCCATTGAAGAAGTGATTAGTTGTGCAATGGAGACTTCCACGAAGATATGTTCGAAAGAATCGAGACGCACGGCACTTGACCAAGAGTTGGAACAACTTAGAGCGGTCCGCCGACGTGCCGAAAGACGATACAGACGCACGAAATCTATCTCTGACCTCAGAGAATCCAGACGCATTCAGAAAAAAATCCAGCGTCGAATGCACAAACTTCATGAACAACGGTGGAAGAATTTTTGTGACTCGCTAGACCCTCGAAAGCCCTTGTCTGCCGTATGGAGGACTCTTCGAGGTATTCAATCGCATCCGCAACAGCGCCACCCCTTCGCCGCTCTGGCGCTACATCAACGTCGCTCACAGCTTGATGTTTCTGGAGAATTTTGCGCAAAGATCGCCGGCGACATCTCTATACCGATCGATCTAATGCCACAGGATGTTCCAGTCGCACGAGATCAGCAAATGGAGGTTGCTTTCACCATGGAAGAACTTCATGCGGCATTGAACACATGCAGACGCTCATCGTCCCCAGGTCCGGATGGAGTGACCTATACTGCCCTACGTCACCTAGGCCCGAAGGCACAGCGCTGTCTCCTGGACATTTTCAATAAGTCTTGGCATGATGGAATGGTGCCTGATGAGTGGAAGTGTAGTCGCCTGGTGCCTTTGCTGAAGCCCGGAAAGTCTCCATTCGATTTGGCATCATACCGGCCTATAGCACTAGCAAGCTGCGTTGGCAAGGTCATGGAGAGGATGCTGCTTACACGCATGGAATGGTACCTGGAACATTATAACATCTATCCTGATGCTATGGCTGGTTTTCGACGAGGTCGGTCCTCAGTTGATAGCGTTATAGACTTAGTGACCTCTGTTCAGCATCAGAAAGCTCAGAAGCGGCTGTCGGTAGCTCTGTTCTTAGACGTGAAGGGTGCCTATGACAACGTGACCCACGAGGCTGTTCTCAATGCTCTTGAAGCAGCTGAACTTGGAGGTCGTGTCTTTCGATGGGTAAGAAGCTACCTCACAAAGAGATCTATGTTCGTTTTAACTGAAGATGGGTCTACGAATAAGTATTTCACAAGTCGTGGGGTGCCACAAGGCGGTGTTTTGAGTCCTACACTTTTCAACCTGGTTCTCGTGGGGCTCACTGAAATGCTGCCACAGACGGCTTATGTATCTCTCTACGCTGACGATATCTGCATTTGGGCGTCCGGCGTGACACGACCTCAAGTGCGCGCAAGAATACAGAAAGCAGCAACAATGACATCGACATACCTTCGCCAGCAAGGTTTGACTATCGCCACAGAAAAATGCGCAGCGGTGGCGTTTACACGCAAACCGATGTCTTTCTACTCAATGTGCATCGATGGCAGGTCAATCCCATATAAGAGCACTCATAGATTCTTAGGCGTCATCGTAGATCGTGACCTAACCTGGAGCCCGCATGTCACATACCTGAAGAAAAAGCTCATTGGCATTGAGAATGTATTCAGGTTCGTCGCCGGAAAATCATGGGGCCCATCCGTGCACTCCATGTTGCAGCTTTATACAGCCCTCTTTCTCGGAACTCTCCGGTACAGCCTTCCGGTCCTGTCCAACACGTGCAAGACTAACATCCGTGCACTGCAAAGCGTACAAGCCCAAGCACTTCGGACATGC